CCTCTCCAGTTCCCTCCTGGTATACTAATATGTAGAGGGAAAGATAAATAAAAACATTAGATTCTTATTTAACAATACCTGAATTGCAGATAACGAATAATTCTATTTTGGTCAACATTTAGAAATAAAAGACCAACCAATCACCTATGTTGCAAAGAAATCATACTAAGACTCATATATAATTTAGCAACGCCTGAAAATATTATATAAAGGACCATCATTTAACAACATGCAGAGAACACCATCAACCTCCCCAGTTAATGTTGTCCCGAAACATTAAGAACCATACAAATAACCAGGCTGCACTGACAATTTTTAAGTTGTTGCCCTACATGTTCATAAAGCACCTCAGAAACTAGATGGGAAAGCTGGAATCAAGATGCAGATGTCATCCTGAGAGATTAAGAAAGACATGTTTGTACCAAAATGCTGCACTGAGACTTACTGACTCCACATCATTATCATCACCACTACTATGACAGTCACAATCATGCTGGTGTAAATATTTCTTTTTGCCCACAAGATCCAAAACAGAATAGGTTACAGAATAGGAATACAGTTACAGAATAGGAATACAGAATAGGAATACAGAATTGCATGTCACCCATGCTGACATGCAATTGAAGACACCTCTCCTTTTGTCCCCGTGTTTATTATCATAGGCTACACAATCACACATGACATGGGCTTTGGAACAATTATCCTGCTCCTGCCCTCTTTCCCATTTCTCATGATGATACATAGCAGTTCTTTAGTTTTCTTACAAAGACAGTAGGCAACAGAAAATAGTGCGATTCTTTGTTGCACACTCTGATCTCTGTACTGGCTCTGGCTTTACTCACATTACTCTAAGTTAGCGCTGGTCTGCTCTTCAGAAAAATCGTTTTTTAAAACTAACACCTATTCAGTTACACTCAGAGAGCTTGCTTCCATGCTTAGAGTACCATCAGTTTGTCAGCAAAAGTTACCTCCTAATCTGCATCATTTTTGCAAGACTAACAGTGCTAGAAGTTATCAGATTCTATTTCTTTTGGGGAACTGCACATAAACTGCTAATTTAGTTTCAACCACCAGCACATAAAAGTTCAGCACTAGCAATAAGGACAGGTAAAACTGAGTGTTTTGTACAGGTTCACAAAGTCAGATGGGATAACTAATCACCTAGTTTCATACCTCTTCTATGGACTTTGTTTCTTCTTCCTGTTTGAAACACTACTTTCTTCAGGGAAATGCCCAGCATTGATCTTAAAACAGGAGTCTACCACAACCTTTCATAAATTGTTCTAACAGTCAAACACACTATTAAAGATACAAACAGGAGTTTGTCTAGCTTCAGCTTGCAGCACGAGTTTGCCACTATATAGCACTATATAGCTCTTCAATGTAGTCACTGCTCTGCAGTCTCCTCGCCAAGGACTTTTTATTACACTGAGTTTCACTGAGTTTCCTGCTGTGCCGCACACACCTACAGGTAAACGCTTCTCTACTCACTAGGAAAATAGCACTCTCTCACAGATTTTCACCCACTAAACCAGTTCATCTCAACTGAACCCTACTCTGCTTCCCAGCTGTTCCCAGGAAAGAAAATAGCTGGAGAACAGCAGTATAAACTGCTATAATAATGGTAGTGCATTCCTACAGCCATATTTTCCATCCAGGAAGATGAATTTGTAAAATGGCTTTTTTAAACCAAAACCAAGTTTAAAAGCAGTCATAGATGGATTCATATACAACAGCATCACAAATAGCTATGCACTGGGCTCAGATGAACTACACTGTGCATGCACAGCATACCTAGTTGTAATTTGTAGATTCTGACCATTACTACTCATGAAAACAAACTGTGTGGACTGCTAAAGCAAAGAGCCTCCTATTAAGATTATTTATTTCCTATTATTCCATACAAAGTCAATGCTTAATCTTCATTTAAACCATGTTAAATTTACTCCCTCTTTCCTTTAAAGAGAGAAACTATCTAATTTTCAGATAACTTACTACTTCTACACTCTGATAGATTATAGGAAAAAACCCTCCTACCTGTCAATATTCCTTATGTACCAACCCCAGAAAGAGATGAATTCAGATATTTTGGACAGCTGTGACCCATCACAACTTCCTACTTTCTGTACCAAGGAATATTTAACTGGTAAAATCTTTCAAGAAAAGGTGAAATCACTAAGAATTTTACACTTTTACACTAACTTTGGAGAAAAAATACAATGTATCTTTTCACAACAGTGTATCTCTCAGAGAAGCAACAACCAGAATGAGATGTTGGGGGATCTTATTAGATTTGATCTATGGAATAATCTGAATCCCATCCTCATGAACTGGAGCTTGCTATTCAAACATTATTTACCTTTCAAACCATAGCTTTACACTCCACATAAATGTTTTGTGAGGGTATATTTGGTTCTCTCTCAAATGTAAGAGCATACCAAACAGCTCTTTTTGTAATTCAGCACCTTTCATACCCCTGCTGAAGTCAAAAAAGGCCTGCAAGACATCCAAGGTTGGGACCAAATCCTTAGCCAACATTTCATGGTAAAGTTCAATTGCAAGGTTCATTTCTTGGTGACAGGTGGCTGCTTTGATACAGGATTCATAGTTTGTCCGTGAAGGAACCATAACCTTTTTTACTTCTTCCAAAAGAGTCAAGGCCATTCTCCATTGATCTGAATTACTCAGTCCCCTGATAATAAGGTTGTAAGCCGCACTTTCTATAACCTTATATCTTCTTTTCATTATATCATAGACATCACGAATTTCTGAAGTCTGCCCCTGCTGGACACACAATGCCAGGTATTTGACCAACAAATTATATGGAACATCACCATCACTTTTTGCCACATAGGTCAGCAAGGACTTAGCCACATCAATGGGGCTGTTGCACCTGACCATACTGTTAAACATCACCATTTCAAACATTTTAGGTGATCGAAAGCTCTCCTTCAGCCTGTTCCATTCCTCAGCCTGCAGAGGCTTTTCTGGGGGCTGTACTTTAGTAAAATTCTGCCTTGACATAACTTGACTCAGTTTCTTTGGAGCTCCAACAGAGGATGAAAAGTGGAGTTTCCCTTCAGATATTTCTTTAGTCTCCTCATCCCACCCTTTTTCTTCTTCATAATCAATTTCAGACTTTTTTTTGCTACGAAAGACATCAGTTCCTTTGGGATTCACTGGTAATGCAGTGCTGGAAGACGTCACAAAGCTGAGATAGCTAACCTTTTCCCTACTAGGGATGCTAAAAGAGACAGCAAACAGTTGTTGGCGTCTTGAAACAGGCCAAAACATACGACATTTCCACAGCAAAGCGTGAAAACCCTGTTGACTAGTTTGAGAAAACAGTGCCATCACAAGAAGAAATTATCTCACTATTAGCTCACTGTATCTAATAAAATTATAAAATGGAAAATGCAGTTTGCATGTGGACATTTATTATAAAAGCTCAAGGGCTGTCAAGCTGTGTAAACTGTTTCACAATGCTTGTTCTGTGAGTCCTTCCTGCTTCTTGAAAACTGTAAAATCTTTTTTCAAAAAAATTAGTCTCTTCAGACAATGAGGACACCCATCCAAAATGTGGGTATCCTTCTTTCTATGCAAGATGCTTCGCAGGTTTGCATCTTAGCATTTCTTTTTGTTGGTTACAGTAAAGATGAGTACTGAATATGTCATACACAGGCAGGCAACTCTGATGCAGCTAGGCAAAAAGTGCAGGTTTTTTTTCCTCCTGCCTTCATCCAAGTTGAGTCAGGTTTCCTAAAAATAAAAATAACACCACAACATCACAACCTGCTCCATGCCTTCCTGTCATAGCTGTATTTGCATGCTAGCAAACACAAGGTTCAAGGTACCTCGACAATTTCAGGTCAGGCATCCCAACCCTGATCCCTCAGACAATCCCAGCACGAGATTCCAGCGTTGGTTCCCTGGTACCTTTCAACCTGCGACAAACTTCTGTGTAACTGTTTTCCCCAACCGTAAACCTTCATAACGCTGCTGCCAAAGAGGCAGAGCAACACCCCTGGCAGTTAATCACGGCGAAATCCCACGTAAATGCTAAATTATCTATGTAAATACCGGGAGGATCACCGGCAGCCGGGCAGGCAGCCGGCGCGGCTCATGAGGCCGCCGCAGGGCCTCACGTCCCTCTCTCGCTCGCTCCGTGCCCG